TTGAAATTGATACTTTTACTAACAATAATAGTAGTAGCTCTCTTATGCAGAATAACAACGGAAATAATAGTAATAAACAGCCTAAGTATTAACGATAAAACTATTCCAATTTTATTACTTGTAATTAAATAGTTAGGACTTGCTTAATTAATTATTCATTATAGTCTTTAAAGAAAGACAATTTATATTAATAATTGCATATTGCGTAATAAAAGCAATGATCGAAACGAAATTATCAAAAATTCCATAAATCTCATCTGGAAAGCAACCAAAGGAAAAATAACCTTTCAGCTACCATAATTTTAAATGATGGAATTGAAATATAATTGCATTTAGATGCGCCAAGTGTTGTACTAAATTTTGGTTGATAATGAGTTTGAAGTAAATGTTTGTTTAAATGAGCCTGATACAAACAAATCTTGGTATTATTATTTCAAAATTGATGTATTCTATTTTTTTATTTTTATTTTTATTTTTTTTAGCAGAAACTCTACAGTATTCAGAGAAACTTTATTATATATTATACAATGCAACATGATAATAAATATACTGTGCCTTTATTACCTTGGTTTAATAGATAGTATAAAATCATAAGTAACTAACTGATTTGAAAAGAAGAATATTATTTATTGTTGAGGCATCATCCTTCAAGTAAATGTAAAATAAAATAAAATAACTTTTAATTCCTTTTTGCAATGCTAAAATTTGTTTACTGAATTAACAAATAGTATAGAAAACAAACCGAAATTTTTTCTAAATTTGGTTGTTTTTATACTCATGTAAGCTTATATGAATAATATAAATTTATATTCTTTAAATTATTTCCCATTAAACTCCCAGTCCATGCTCAACAAAACATTTGTCATGAATACTCTTTATTGGTTGGTATCTGCAATTATGAATTAGGAAAACATTCATGTCGTTTTTATATACTCTATATATTCTATCAAATTCGATTCGTACTTTGGATCTAATCCAATTACTCGTAGAGTACGCCTACCTTCCTGCTCACCTTATGAATCTGCGTTCTGTAATGTATCCCGTGACATCTGCAAAAGTTGGAGGTTTAGAAATATGCTTAAGAACATACTGCATTATCCATCAGCAAGAGCAAATATTCTCATTGATATACCTGGCACAGCCATATATATACCTGTCACAATGTGTATGGCTTAGATAGTAGATTTGTAGCTTAATCTTGAGAAAATTATAATACAGTATTAGAAAAAAGTGTATTAATAGATTATTCACAAATTCGTAGTTTCGGTAAAGAAAAAAAATTTATACAATTACATTTTGGGTGGCACTTATTTCACAGAAAATCATTTGACAGAATTCTACTTCATATAAAACTAATTCACAGAGAATACATTTTATAATCAAATTAATTTACAGAAAAATTATTTCACAGACAGATTTATTTCATAGACAATTCATTTCATAGACAATTTTTTTATAAGATTAGAGTTAGGGTTTAGAGTTCGAATTTAGGGTTAGAGTATTTTATAGTAAAAAAAAATTGTCTATGAAAAATGAACTGCTTATGAAATAAATTTTTATGTGAAATAATTTTTCTGTAATGTAATTTGTCTTTGAAATATAATTTTCTGGGAATTGATTTTCTGTAGATTGAACTGTCTATCAAGTGGTTTTCTGTGAAATAAAACAAATCCTTATACTTTATTTTAATAGTTTTACGCCTTAATTGCAAAGTGCTACTACTTTCTCAAATCAACATGATGTTCTTGCAAAGTGTTTCGGTTAATTTTTTCCCACTTTGTCCCAAATAATTTAAACGAAGGGTACCTCCCTTAATAATGTGTTTGAAAGTGATCGAAATATTTCTCAATCAATTAATCGATTAAGTGGTGATGGTTTTAGTAAATTCCACCGACATCTTTTATGCCAACAACATATTTTTCCAACACCACTTTGCCGACATCACATTTCACTAACAGCACAATTAACTAATAGCATACTTCTACGACAGCCTATTTCATAACTCAGTCGAAAGCACATTTGCCCTAACAGCCATTTACCCCGACTAGAGTTTGGAACCGGATTTGACCTTCGGATTTAAATCCGATTTCCTTCGGGTTGATTTAAAATTCGGATATAAAACCGAGTCTATCGAGTCTGCAATACTCACATTGTTTGTACAAACGCATAGTGAACAAAAGTATTTGACCACCTATAGAATTCTCAACTATAAATAGTTTTTGCTCT